TGTAGATAATGCCTCAGCAAAATATAGTAGTTCCGTGCAGGTGTCCTCACAAGATCCACAGCGAACACAGCTATCAATGCAGCCAGTACTCGGTAGCAGCAACAGACATCCGTTGGAAACCCGAACTGATCGTCACAAGCAATTCTCTCCAAGTCTTGCACGATGCTAGGCTAACCTCTAGGATGTCGAATGTCTCCACAATGCGACCGCAGCTTCAGTCTCTACTAGGTCTTTCTTAACGAAAGAATAAACACTCTCTTATAGAAATAAAATCAGGATTTCCCTTTAAAAAACTCTGTAGGTATGGTTTTGTTCTCTCTTTATCGTTTCCTTTGGTCGTTTTTTTCCTTCACCAACCCCACTAACGTCTCTCCTCTCCCTTCTTTCAACTTTTCCCTCTATTTTCTTTCCCAGCAACCAGTCCACTCTCCCATTGGCCACAACTTAACAAGTTACCTCATTGGTCAAAACTTTAACGAGATACGTGGGAAACTTAAACTTAAAAGTAAACCAACCTATTCACTTGTACATTTTTTTTAAACATTGCTTCAAAAGAAATGCATTAATGACATTACAAATCAGGAGCTATTCGATCACCTTTTAAATCTAATACCAATGAATTATAATAAATAAACTCTATACTTGGTTTTAGCAAGGTATTACACAACACTAAAAACTGACTGATACAGTAGATATTATGAATCTGACCTTCATGCCAATGTGTTGTATTTACATGTAGGCCATTGTCTACTGTATACTTTAGAGAGAGTAGGGTTGACTGCAGATGTTATGTGATTCTGCTAAATACTATACTACCAGAAAACCCCTACGCAATCTATATATTATTAAGTGGGAACGCTAAGATACTGTACATATAAAATTGGGTCAACTTCACAAAACCCATTTTCAGGCCAAAGAAAACAAACTCATTGTATGCATTTCATCCTGTAGGCATCCAACTAAAATCATGGCCCTGAATGAAAGCAATCTGTATGGCTAGACTGAGGGGCTTCCACTAACTCCTGGCGTTCCACTGACTTTATTTCTCATCAGGCAGCATTATCTCTGGCTCCTAGCCTCAGAGGAGAAATACCAATAGGCAAGATATAGCCTGGGATCCAAACTGAGACAATAGTGAAACAGAGCATATCAGTTTGGATTCCAGGCTAGGGAACTCTAGTGTCAATCTCGCTCTACTTTCAAGTCCATATAAAATAAAATAATAAATAAATAAAAAAGGAGAAATTCTCAGGAGACGGTGCCGATTCATTTTGTCGGATAAAACAGCAGTAATTTGGGAGAGAGCCGTGGCTAATGAGAAGGACTTTGATGTGTAAATCCTGGAGCCCAAGCAGAGAGCAGCCTCGCTGATACCGTCTCTTCTCTACACTACAGCACTCCTCAGGTACCGTCATGGCGTGTGTGTGTGTGTGTGCAACGTTGTATGAATTGTATCAGACGTTGTTGTACTTGTATTATGTTCTGAAGAATGTCAATACACACACACACTCCGGTGGCTCCGGATAGAACTACAAAAATAGTTTCAGTAATCTTGATATTACATATTCATATTTCTTGTTTTCTATCTAAATCAGAGACTAATAATATAAATCTACTTTACGCAGCAGCCCTTTCTCTGTTGATTTCTAAGCTGCAGAGTAATTGGATCTCCAGCCAGTACACTGTAGTCTGCTAGGCAGCAGGGAAATGAAATGAATGCCTATTAATCAGAGGATAATTGGACACATATCTCTGATAAATGACACAGCACTTACAGTCACGTACAAATTAGGCCATTTTCCACGACTAATTTCTTATCTCACTAAAGAAATGAAATGTTATATAACAGAGCAAATGGGATGCTGGTGAAGGGGAATAAAGGAGACAATACTAGGGTTGCAAAATTCCTGGAACTTTCCTCAAATTCACAGCTTTTCCAGAAATCCCGCCGTTTGGAGGATTCTGATTTCATGCATATTTGTTGCTTATTCCAGGAATCTTCCAAGCGCCATTTATGGAAAATGTAGGCTAACTTTTTGGAAAAGTTACAAGAATTTTGCATAACTAAGGTTTTTTGTTTGTTTTGCAAAGCATATGGAACGTGTTTGTTCATGAATAATAACTTTGAATACAATGTTGTTGTTCAAAGATTAAAGATATTACACTTGGGGAGTGTAGCATCCACCTTCCATTTGATACAAAGAAAAAAACATATTGTAAATGGTAGGGTCAAACTAATTTTCACCTTACATCTTTTCATGTGTATACCTGTATTGTTTTACAGCATATTACCATATTGTTATGTAAATCACTGCTATTTACTGATGACTATGAATAACTGACAGTTTCACTAATGTCATGCCTGATTATCATAATATCATTTTTTCCCATATGGTAATTTATGAACAAAGACTAGGAATAGGGTTATATGTCCATTATCCACAGCTTAACATGAATCATGCATAGGGAAAAAATTGACTTATTACAATTTTTGCCATCTCTCCCCCACCCTAATTCTCTTCTCTCATTTCTTCCTGATGAAAGAGAGTGGGATCTACAAATGAGTTCCTTTGGCCTCACATTAATCATGCTAATGCTGCTTCCCGTCCACCAGAGATAATCAACTACAGTGGATCCTATCCACACAGCAAATATGGATGGAGTCAAGGGCTTGAGTAATGCAGTAGTACCAACTGGCTCTGCTCCTCCTTTCTCTCCTCTCCTCTCCCCTCCCTCTTCTCCCCCTCACCGAGGTGACTTACCAGTACTTCTGCCACTGGTCCTCCTCAAAGATGTCCTCTGGAATGGGATCAATAAGGACAAGGTCTGACACCTGCCTGAGGACGGGAGGGAGAGGGAGAGGGAGAGGGAGAGGGAGAGGGAGAGAGAGAGAGAGAGAGAGAGAGAGAGAGAGAGAGAGAGAGAGAGAGAGAGAGAGAGAGAGAGGAGAGAGAGAGAGAGAGAGAGAGAGAGAGAGAGAGAGAGAGAGAGAGAGAGAGAGAGAGAGAGAGAGAGAGGACACAGTGAGAAAAAGAGAGAGAAAGAAAGAAAGAAAGAAACAGTGATGAAGCGGGCCTCTAGTGTCCATTCTGACCCGTCCCCTATACCCTCCCTGTCCTGTCCTGTCCTGTCCATAATGAGTGTGAGAAGGATGGCTCTGTCCCGCCTGTCTGTCTGACTGCTCCTGGCCCACTGGCAGACAGATGGATTGGTCCACACCCCATCACCACATCCAGGGGGGGAATAGATTTTATTCTGCAGGTGTCATCCTCTCACCATCGCTTAATTTAACTGCTGCTCATCACACTGATGAAACGCTAAATCTCTCACCTCGGGGCGGGAGTGGGAGGCTGATCCCTCCCTGGTCGTGTTAATCACTAGGTTTCTCAGTAATGGGGGTTGGTGTGGATGGGGGTAGAGAATTATGATGTCCCTGGGTTTGATGCAGTGCTGAGTCTAGCTACAGATCGTGATGATACTTTTGAGGTATTGGAGTTACTGTAGTCAATAATGTGTAGCAAGGGAATAGGATGGAACTCAAACGGGGGAAGAGAACTTGAGAATCCCCAAAGTTTGTCAAAAACTGTGCAAATCTTTCCCATTCATTTGGAATGGAGGCATAAAGCTGAATTTACACAACCACTTTTGAGATATAAACTTATCGACCAACTTTTGGAGTGAGCCTATCACTCTAAGCAATCTCAATATATTTTGACTTGTGGCAAGTTTGGCAACAAGAAACGAGTTAGCCTATATTTTCCATTGAGATTCCGTTTCTAGGTGGGCAGGGAGACTCACCCGTCATGGATGTGGCTGTAGAACCTGGCATTGAGCGTGCCCAGTTCAGACCCCACCAGGATGAGAGGCGTGGCTAGACCAGCTAACTTGATGAGGCGGTGGAGATTGTCCACCATTCTGTAGGGGGGAAAGCAACAGCTGTCACAAAGGGCTTTTCCAGTAAAACACATCAACCTCTAAAATAGCAGCTACACCATAACAAGAGAAACACTGCCATTGAAACCCTTGAAATCAGCCAATGTAAAGTAGCCTAGTGGAAGAAGCACCTGGCTACTTTGCCTTGTAAAGCAGGATAGATACAACAGAAAATCATCCGAAGGAAAAAGAGAGAGAGGGAGCATCATCATCAGGTGAAATACAGCTCCTCACAGACGCCCATCTGTTGTGTTTCTTACACTAATAAATCAACATAGGAGAGGAGGGAAGAGGCTGGGGCTGGGATGAAGAGGTTTCACTGCAGCAGCAGGGAGAAGAGAGGCATGCAGTCATCAAACCCTCAGCTTGCCAGCTTATTGAATTCTGGGTAATTGATTGCTTGTATCAGAAGAGGGCGGCTGCCTGCCTGCCTGCTCTGCTGTTAGCCCGGGCCAGCTCCCAAGGTAGCAGAGACTGCTGACCTGACCGTCTGCATACAACCACAATGACATCCACCCATCACTCAGTCAGATTTAATGCTTAACAACACGTTACTTTGTCAGCCAGAGAGATTAGGGGAGGGTCACGGACAGGGCAGGGAGATGGAGTGGCAATGGCGTAATGCAGTGGACCCAGATGTCTCTGATTGGACAATCCATGAGGTGGCCCCACATGGCACTGAGCCAAGGGGAATACTACATCTGATAGGGAATGGTGTGTGTGCTTGTTGAGAATCAGTGCTTTAGAATAACTTGCATCAAACACCTATTACTTTGACTGTAGTAGTAGACTATTAGGTCACACTTTACATTAACAATGCATGAAAAACAAGATGTAGAGGATGCAAATTTGCACAATAGAATAGTAGCCTATAACTGCTTCATTTTGGTATTCTGGGGCAAGCATTGATAAGTAAAACTGTAAAATGACAGGACAGAGAAAAACAAGATGCTTACCGTCCAGTGGTTGACATCCCCCAGACTTTCTCCGTCCCTGTACTTTCATTCTGCAGGACTCTTTTGCTGAACCCCAGTCCCACTCTGTCATAAGTACACACCTGTGGGTGGGAAAATGGGAACATCAATCAATCAAATGTATTTTTTAAGCCTTTTTCACATCAGCAGTTGTCACAAAAACATTGCGAAATTGTCCTGGTTCCAATCATATCGTACACAATCATCTTCTGGTCAGGGAATGTAGACCATCAATTTGTTTGTACCAGCAAAAATAAAACCCTTCTAAAACGGTTGAATCATTAACAGAGTTGCCTGGACGATGTACTGTATTTCTCCTTACCTTGGTTAGCAGTGCAATGTTCTCTTGTACATGGAACCAGATGTCAGAGGACATACCAGTGGGGGCATCTAGTATGACTACACAGGAAACAGAGTAGTTAGGGCTTACATCTGAGCGGTGATGAAGTTGTGTTGACATTTCTGGCAAGCTAGCAGACTTACCAACTGGTTGTCCTTGTCCTCTGCACATCAGATGCATCTTTTGACCCAAACCGATATCTATAATTTCACCACCTGAAAAAAAACAAGATACAAATTAATCAATGATGATAATCTTAATCATAATGGAAGGGTTTTATTGGCCTTCTGTACTCATGTACGCATTAAAGTATTAAATTGAGGGAGGAAAGTGAATGTCATGTTCGCAGCAGGCTACCTTCTGGCATTAACAGTTGGCCCTCTCTTTGCAATGATGCATAGTTCAGAAAGGGAGGGATGAGGATGATGAGGAGGAGACATTTTCCAACTGAGGTAACAGTCGACCAGCATCTGCTGGTTTTAGTCCCTTGTTGTGGTCGATGATGTTGTTGTTGTTGACTGGTCTCTCCTGAACCTGCAGTCTGTCTGTCAGTCTGTCATAGGAGAATAATAATCAACATGTTATATCAATGTGTGGATAAGCTACCTAGCTAGCAGTTACAGCTGTCAGAAAGCCATAGTTACATAAACATGTGTGTCAGTGTCAAAATGCCTCTACAATGAGCCTTAACTTGGCTTTAACTAAAGCATTGTGTCCACATGTAAGTCATGTAGTCAGTGTAACATTTATGGAAGATAGTAATATCAGGGCTAGGTACAATATTACTCGAACTAGTCATTTGCTAGGCTACTAGCTATGCCTAGCGACAGTACAGCTAGTTCTATATCGTGGAGCTCCGCCCCATAGGGGAGCTCTGCTCCTATTGGTTTACCCACTGCCCTAAGGCAGCATCAGCCTGAGACAAAATTATGCACACACCTGCAGCCAATAGGAGTACAGGTGTCCCTATAAGAGGGGATGCCTCCCCTCAATCAGCCTCCCTTTATCTTCAGCGACTGGACTAGACTGAAGAAGCCAAGAAGAGACAAAGAAAAGACTCAGGACGAAGAAAACGCCGTCGAATTCCAGATCATCGACGTCGTCCTACAATGAGCACACCAGGAGATTTTCCACCCCCAAAAGCTATTTTCAGAGCTCAATGCAGATGCTCCTCCATGGCGGCCGGCGACTCCCACGACTTATGTTTCGTGTGTTTAGGGTCCCAGCATGCCAAAGAGGGCGCCTGCAGTCCCCCTAACTGCACCTCCTGCGCCCTCCTTTCTATGAAGGAGAGGAAGCAGCGCTGGGCGTTTTTTAGGGAGGATATTCCTCTAGAGGACGTGCTATCGATACTAGCCTCTGCTTCAGAGGCGTCATCTGACGGCGCAGACTCAGGAAATGATGGGGACTATGAGAAAGAGGCTGGCATTCCTATGGAACAGTCAGACCCCGTCCCTCATACATTCAAGCCCCCCTTTCCTTTGGTTAGCGAGAGGGCTTGTAGTTCCTATGACGATGACGACACGGGCTCTGACAAATCAGAAGCCCTGTCCTTCGCCGCAGTGTCTCTGAGAACGGATTTTCCCGGACTCATTGAGAGAGCTGCCAGACGGTTGGAAATACCGCTGCCCCCTATTCCCTCCGCACCGGAGGTTGATTTAATGGAGGGCGGGCCATATTCCAGGCCAAGAAGAGCGGCAGAGCCACTAGCTCCAGCCATGCCTTCGTTGGCTAAATACGTCGAGGGCTCATGGGAGGCACCTTTAGCGGCACGTTCGCCGGCTAAATCGTACCTCCCATTCACTAGAGTGGAGGGAAGGTTCCAGGGCCAAGCTAGGGGAATCCTCAGGTTCGAGAGCGCCATGGCGGCGTATCTCGTACCGGGTTTGAGTCCCTTGCCCTCTTCCAAGAAGGCCACCTTGCCATCTCAGAAGGACCGTCTCACAGCACAGCTGTTAGAGAAGTCCTTCAATTTGGGAGCCCAGAATGTAGCAGCAGCCAATAACATTGCCCTCTTGGCAGCCGCTCTGTCCCGTTTAACCACGGGCAAGACAGAGCTGGAGCCAGAGGAGGTGGAGGAGGCGTCTAGGATCTCTGGCGCCATCCTGCACCTAACACAGGCATCGGCCGTCTGCTCGGGGAGGTCCATGGCCACTTCGGTGGTCGCGGAGCGACACCTCTGGTTGTCCCTGACAACCATGAAAGAGGCAGACAGGACATCCCTTTTGAACGCCCCCCTCTCTGACGACGGGCTCTTCGGAGTCACCGTCAAAGAGGCGACTGAGAGGTTCTCAAAGCTGGACGAGGAGAAGAAGCAGCTGGCCAGACACCTGCCACTGGCAGGGAGGTTAGGCCCTGCACCTCCACAAAGACCATCCACTTCCCAGAGTAGACAGAGTTCTACAGCGAGGCGGCGTATCCGGCGCCAGTTGGCGGCCACAGGAAGCAGGAGAGCGGGCCCAGCCCCCCCAGCAGCCACGGTGGCCTCATTGCAGCCGGCGAGGGAGGTGGTGAGAGCGCCGACCTAGGCCCCTAAGGGAGGCCACAAGAGGAGGCGCACATGACGGGACGCGGGGCAGCGGATGGAGGACACGTTGATTTCGAACGTGGCCACTGTTCCCCCCCACCCTTCGGTTGAAGGGATGGGTGATGATGTTAATGTCTTGAATGATGTGTTTAATAAAGAGTTGGCTCCACCTGACTTTGTCAAAAAAGAGCCCCTTTTCCATAATACGTCTGAGAGCATTCAAATCTCACCCTCTCTTCCCTACCACTCTAAGCACCGTTCAGCCCACCAGGGGTGCGTTGCTGAACAGGCATTCAGAGTAGGTACACATAACACTTCAAGTATAAGAAGTGCTTCACATAGCAGGCAGCAGTCTCTGTCAGACTCTGACATGATGACGCAGCCGCTATTTGGGGATGGCGCACTATCACAGACTAAGGTCTCTGTTAGTGTGATTCAGACCCATGCTGCGTTCACGGAGGGCCCGATTACTACGGTCACGAAAGTGTCCAACGTATCGGCGCCCCCACCTCTTTCTGAACGCGCCAAAGCTCACCACACTGAGCGTAATTCAGCCCACCAGAGGTGCAGAGTTGAACACGCACAGGAGGTGAAAGGGGAAAAGATACCAAGACGCCGTCTTGGTTTATCTCAAAGAGACCTCACATTACAGACTCCAAGGAGTACTGTAGTGAGTGCCTCTCATAGCAGGCTGCATTCTCAGTCAGGAGACATGATGACGCACCCGCTATTTGGGGACGGTGCACTATCACAGACTAAGGTCTCTGTTAGTGCGATTCAGACCCATGCTGCGTTCACGGAGGGCCTGATTACTACGGTTACGGGTATAACCAATGTATCGGCACCCCCACCTCTCACAGAACGTGCTGATGCTCACCACGCTGAGTGTGGCTCAACCCACCAGAGGTGCAGAGTTGAACACACACAGAAGGTGAAGGTTAAAAAGGTATCAAGGCGCCGCCTTGTGTTACCTCATAGAGACCTCATATTACAGACTCCTAGGAGTATTGTAGTGAGGGGCTCTAATAGCGAATTGCAGTCATCTGGGATGATGACGCAATTGCTTGCTGGGGATGGTGCCCTGTCGCAGGCTGTGGCCTCGGTCAGTGCAATTCAGACCCGCGCTGCGTTCACGGAGGGCAGGAATACGACGGTTACGGGTTTAACTGACGTCTCTGCCCCTCCTTCTTGTTCAGAACGCACTAATGTTTCCTCTCCCTTTCTTGGGAGGCCCGCCTTGGGCTGTTCCACCACCTCAGTGTTGGAGAACAGCGGTGGCAAGGGCCATAGAGGAATACAGGTCCTTCCTACTGAGTGTACCAAAGCTTCGCGCTCGGCCGCTTTCTCTGCATTGCTGGCAGTGGCAGCGAAGCTGCACCCTCTCACGCTGGCTAGAACAGACGTTGCAGAAGGGTTATGCCCTCCAATTCCATCGGACCCCACCCCCATTCAGGGGAGTGGTGGAGACGGTGATGAAAACGCCCGAAAAAGTGGCCGCTCTGGTTTCAGAGATTACGGAACTTTTGGCGAAGGAGGCGGTCACAGTAGTTCCCCAGGAGCAAAGGGCTATATTCGCCCTACTTCCTGGTGCCCAAAAAGACGGGGGGAATGAGGCCGATATTGGATTTACGCATTCTCAACGAGAGCGTAACCAAATGACAAAACGTCTGCTGGAATGTGTCCAGAAAGGAGACTTTTGTACGAGCATAGACCTAAAGGACACGTACTTTCATGTGCCGGTACAGCCGCGTCACAGGAAGTTTCTGTGATTCGCCTTTCAAGGGGTGGCGTACGAATACACGAGGATGCCATTTGGGTACACCCTGGCACCTCACACGTTTTCCAAGTGTGTGGAGGCGGCATTGGAACCGTTGCGTCGTCAGGGAATACGGCTACTAGCCTACCTAGACGACCTACGGGTTCTCGCCCCGTCAGCAGAGCTGGCGATCACTCACACGACACAGACAGTGATTCATCTCTCACGTCTGGGGTTCGCTGTGAATTGGAAAAAGAGCGCGCCCTGGCCCAGTCATCAGATTGTCTACCTGGGGATACAGCTAGACACTGTAATGATGAGGGCTCGAATTTCGGACCCCCGAAGGGTAGCCTTGTTGCTAGCCCTGAGGAAGTGTCGTCCGAATCACACGGTGACGGCGCTGTCGATCATGTCACTTTTGGGTCTCATGTCGTCAGCCCACTCTGTGGTTCCGCTGGGACTCCTGCACATGCGCAGGATGCAGCGATGGTTCGCCCAACTAAGACTAGACCCATTGCGCCAACGTCATCGGTTGGTGGTGGTTCCCCTCTCGCTCAGTGCAGATCTGAACTATTGGAGAAACCCGCGCGTTCTCACGCACGGAGTCCCGATAGGCAAAGTGTCCTCTTACATCCCAGTGTTCACAGATGCGTCTCTGACTGGATGGGGAGGGACATGTCAGACCCAAGCGATAGGAGGTGTGTGGCCTCTTTCGAGTCGCCACATCAACCTCTTGGAGTTGGAAACGGTTCGACTGGTTTTGACCCACTTCGCGTCTACCCTTCGTGGTCGCGATGTGTTGGTCTGGTCAGACAACCGGACCACAGTAGCCCACTTAAATCGCCAGGGAGGAGTCAGGTCTCCTGCTCTCCATCGGGCGGCAGGGGAATTGTGGCT